TAAGATGAAATGTGTGTCGAAAACATGCTATGTTATTAACAGTTCAATAAAATCGCAGAAACACATCCTTTTGTGGCTGTGGGGTTACCTTTAAGGGTTGAAACAACAGCATTGCAGTCACAGTTTAGCGCTGCGTGATCATAAGAGGTGACTAAATTGGTTCGAAATACTGGAGGCTATGCATCTCTTAGCTCTTGCAGGTGAGATGGTTTTCATCTCTGGTATTGCTGTAAGTTAAACATGTTAAACACCTGAGATTAGCCAAAATCAAGTTTCCTGTTTACGGCGCCATATGACCAAAATTGTGTTGATACGCCGTAAAACCAAGCAAACCAGTAGAAAATCATTAACTTATGCTTTTGATATGCAACTAGTTTTGTATATACAGTATTGTGTTCTAATATAAATAAAAGGCAAACCATAAATATGCTTAACCTTTTGACATGAAACTATGTGATCTGTTTTTCTAAAGCATAAACATAACTCTTGAAGTTATATACACAAAATACCAAACCCGTTTTCTGATTATCGTTTTTATGTTTGCTATGGAAATATAGATAATGATAAATTGCACGTTAGTTAGTTTATACTTGTAGGACGTTTTATTTACAGACTAAAAGCTTGACAACCAAGAAAAACAAACCTCAGAATATCCGATGATAATAACTTGATGGTAGAAACAAAAATTATTCTGTCGAATTCTCTGTGTAAGCAATTTTCAATTGTCCATATTTATTTTATAGTAGATTTGTGTATTTGCATAAATGATCTCAACAAGAAACTACTAAAAGACAAAATTCTAAGATGTTACTGACAACGTATATCCTCATGCTAAACGCATGATACAGACTTTACATTCATGAAATTCATGAGATCTTTATCAGGGCTTTTGACAGAAAACTAGCTCAAACTGTTATGATTTAATGTAGGATAAAATTCTGGAAGGTATGACATTCTTCGGAAGCAATGGTAACTTATGCAATGCCACCATGTTGATAACGTATATAATGAGTGGGTGAGTGAGCGAGTGATTTGATGAGTAAAATAAATTTGTGCATGTGAGTGTTTGGGCGTGCAAGCATGAGTAAGTTCTATAACAATAACAGTTTGTTCTGTTTATGTACAGAATGTGGAATATGGAAAATACAAATAACAGATTATAAAACCTTGTCAAGTTGGGCCAATAAGTCATTTTACATTATTTACATTTTCATGAACATGATTTATAAACAATGCGATGAGAAAATGAAATGAAAAGTGTGGAAAAAGTAAACATACTGTTACATTAAAACTAGTTTATTTACAAAGTGCACAAGTTTTGTATAATTATACAAACAGTTCATATTCAATTTTAAAAGACAGTTTTTGCAAATCAGTTTTCAGAGCTTGCTAAATTGTATGATTTTATCACTTTATTTGTTTATATTTGAAACTCTTCCTCATTATTTCATACTTAGTCTATTATATTTAATTTTGAATTCATATTCTCAAAAATTCTTTTAAAGTTCATAAATGTAAAAAAACATATGATGAATAAATGTAAACTGAACAATTACGAGGGTCAATTTGTAATTCTATAAGGTCAAAAAATGTAACAAAAAAAAGCAAATATGTTACAAATTTATATTTTACCCCTTCGAAATAATATAGACCTGCAGAAATATAAAGTCGAATTTTAAAATGCTTTACCACAGTCCCCCTCAAGTAAACCTTTAAGTAAACTAAAATATGGCCGATATTTCATTTAATTATATTCTTTGTGATTCTTTTTTATATCTGGCATCATATATCTTTATCAACGAGTCTTTCCACCCCCGCACCTTTCCTCATAATTTATCTTAATCATTTTACCAATAAGTCTTGTAATTATCTTGATGACAAGGCAAATTTTGACCGACTTTTCGTTTTGTGAACTACAGTGTAAACAAAGGTGTGAATATATGTGTGGATATTTATAGCAGAGACCTAAGGCGTGCATCTGGTCATTATGATCCAAGGCGTGTAGAATATCTTATTAAATATTTATCTTATCAAATCATGTACGAGTGCTAATTGTCTGGTCATACATAAAATAAGAAATAGTATTCCGTCGGGTATAATTTTCCACAAATAAAAACCAATTAACGTAACTGATGATTTTTATATTCAAAGTTGGTTTCGTATGTCCTTTTATTTGTTAATAATGGAATTTGAAACGATACAATTAGATAGGTCAATGGTTAAAGGAACTCTACTTAAAGGAGGTTCAAATGCCCGAAAACGTAAAATTTGAATTTCTTACATAGATCAACCGGGGCACTTAAAATAGAGAGATATGCAAAAATGATATACTCTGAAATAAATTGAACACGTATTTTTGTGTTATTCTTAATTTAAGTAATTTTTCACAATTAGTAATGATTATTCTGGAAGAACCGGAGCGAGCGAATGATCATGATCTGAAACTTTGTACACACGATATTGGTCTAGATTAACAACAAAAGGAACATTAATCTCGAAAAACATATCTCCAGTCCCGTCATGTAAAAAAACACAACAAAAACAACAAAAAACAACAATATAGTGGAGACACTTTAAGGAGAAAATTATCAAACATTTAACCAAATTTCTTTTATCCAGCTTTTGAAAGTTAACTGGTACTATTCGGATTTTAATTGTAGTCTAAAACAATCTTGCATGAAATTGATATTTATTTTTATTGCAGGTTATCAGGTAAGTGATATTTTTATCTTAGATATTCATACGATAAAAAATCTAATTTGCGTTCGGTTTCGTGAGAAAATATCTTTTTATGCTGAATTTTGTGGTTTTTAAATCTTCTGAGATGTATAAAATATTCATTATCAAATTTTTTTCTGATTATGTTCGACGAAACAAAAATCCATTATCACTCATGTACAGACTCAGTCAAACCGAGTCTGCAATGTTCATGTAATTTTGTTGTGATTAATGCTTCCGAGGGTTCACTTTGTTTAAAACTTTTTATCATTTTTGAGCATAAGAAACATATACTTTTATCAGTTTAAATGTTAGTGCAATGCATCGCTGGTTGATAGAACGATATAAGGAGATAAAGTATTATGTACAGCTGGTTGGTATAATAATATAAGGAAATAATTTAAAAGTGTTTATTAAAATAATATAACTGTTTGGTAAAAAGAAAAAAAAAAGAAACGGATTTCGCGTAGAAGCATATAATTTCATCTAAGCAAAGCTTTAAACTAAATGATATGTTTTATTTCTATTTTTGTCTTCTTTTTTAATTGATACGCAACCTATATTTGAAACTTCTCATTGACATAACGGAATACTTTGAGAAATGTTAAATGAAGACATTATTTAAAATATATTTAAAGTAATCTAACACATCTATATATTTTCATTAAAACATCGATATAAATTTCACATCTTCAATTTTTCAAATCAAATTTCATTCACTGAAAATTTTAGCAGTGAAATATTTAGATAGATGCACACCGAATTTGCGTATTGATAAGAGTAATTGTCTTACGCATTCTTAAAACTGTTTATTTTCGCAGAATTTATACAAATAGCAAACCTTTGGGATAAATATTTGGAAAGGAAAAATCGCCCGAGAGCAATCATAACAAAAACAACAAGTTATAAATCGCAGACTTGGTTTAAACCATAGTATATTCACAAGAGATATTAAAAGGTGCAGCAATTCCTCGCGGCCCCATGACACCGGATTAAAGTATTCATTATTCAACGGTAAAAAATATTGGAATTTTATGCAGCAATGCCGTATGACCAGACAAATATATCAACACTTAGATAAATTACGAGCCACACATTATGAATATTCCTTGTTAAGTGAATTATATACCAGTAAAAATGTGTTCTTAAAGCAAATAAGATCATAAATATTTCCCCCTTGTGGCTGAGGGAATGCCTTTAAAGGTTGAGAATTAGAATTGCGACCGTCGTTTATCCCTGCGTAATCGTAAGAAGCGACTAAATGATTTTAAATAACTTAAGTCTATGTTTTTACTTGCTCCAGCAGGTGGGGCGATTTTGACCCTTAGTGTTGCTTTTGAGTTTAAAACACCCGAGGTTAACCAAAATCATCTTTTCAGTTTCGGCACAATTTATTGTGTTGTTGGTGCGCCGTAAAACCAAACAAAGCAAACAAAAAATAAACATATTCAAACTGGACTTACGTTGTTTTAAGCTATTTCAAATAATTTTTTTTTTTTAAGAATTTAAAAACGGTAAATGTGTGTTGTTTTGTTTCCGTAATCCTATGGTCGTTTCCCGAAACAGTTGTAATATAGAATGTTTCTGTCTTTAAACACACATGGAAAAAGAGTGTAAACAGAAGAAATTGTGTCCGAACAAATGTTATGGTGCCATTTCAAGTAAGCTTTTGATTTTATAAAATATTCATAATATGGTTTTGCACATTAGCCAGGCGCTCAAAAATTACAAAAAATCAAAAAAAAAAAAATACTGTTGAATCTGGACCTAGAAATGTCGGATTCATTTAACCGACATAACGAAGATTTACTTAAATAATTGAAATTAGGATAAAAAAAAGCCGAAGAACGGTGACGACAAAAAGAATGTTACTATTTTAACTATATCTCTATATATTTGTAAATATATACTCTAAAACAACATTCGTCATTGATAAAATACAATCATTTATGTTCAAACACTACTTGCTATTGTTATAATCTCAAAATAATTGCATGCGTTTGCTTAAAAAATTATGCATGAAAATAAATAATATCAACAAAATAGCGCTTATGATATATAATTTACTTTTATCAAAAGAATAACTTTAACTGTATAACGCATAAAGTTTGCGATGTACAAGTTTATCGAAGTACATATTATAATTCAAATCAAATTACGTTCATGGTGCAAATAAATAAATAAATAAATGATTAAGTAAATTAATAGATGAATAAATAAATAAATAAAAACATTTATAAATACTAAATTAGATAAATAAATAAATGAATAAATATACTCACCGTTTCTGAAATAATTTTATTCCCATAGATCACACTGTACAAACTTATCAAAACAATATTCCGGTAAATCGTGCACATATTTTAAAATCCAAACTATTCCAATTGTAATTATTGTGAATAATAGAATGATTCCACGAGCACATATCAATGAATCTATTTGTCAGTATATTTCCTATATCGAGAATGTATCCCGCATGTCCATTCCATTTCCAATGAATGATCGGAATAATATCTCACATATTGGAAAAGCTGGCAGGAGTTTGTCGTAGTGCAATTTTACGAAAATCTGTTAACAAGCGGTAACCATGTCTATATCTATCAGATAGTATCAACTAATTACAAGATACTATGTTATCATGTGTAAATGATGAAGAAGCAACTTCTGTATTGATTTACAATTGTGTAACACAGGTGATAATTTTATAATTGGGGGTAAAGAGATAATGTTATCACACTTTGAATAATAAACTGCCCTGTTTTCTTAGCAATACTCCTCAAAATCACAGATCAGTTTTGGACTAAGACTTCTTGATCAATTTCACAGAAACGGTTGAGTATGGTGACTTTGACAAATCATCAGAACACTGGAACAACTTTTATAAGAATATCTGAAATAACAAAAACAGAAATATGTTCAAATACATATATGAATAAATCTATATATCTGCTGCCTGTTGTTTGCACTGATATTGCTTGAAAAATAGATAAGAATAATTTAAAAAAACCTGTATATAGAGATATGTTTTTAAATATACTTTTATGTGTGAATACTGCACAATCTTTAACATTAAGGCACATTGTGCATCAGAAACTAATAAATTTCTACTTCTTTTAAATTGCAACTTTTTATCTTAAAACTTGACTTGACTTTCATACAAAAAAAGTAAATCGCTACCTGCCAGAAACAACAGATGAAGCAATGGTTTATGTTATTGCTAACTTAGAAACGTTTTGGAAACTATAAAAGCAAACAAAAATAAGCGCTTTTGAGCAATAAAAGTAAAAAAGATTAAAAAGTAGGTTGTGTTATATTATTATTACATATTTCCATATACTTTAATTGAAATATAAGATTGATAACCCTTCAACAAATGGAGGTATATAAATGTGCAACATATTTTAGTTCTGTTTATTTTTAATTAACAGCGTAGACAACAATAGCTGCTAAAACATACGCTAATTGCATAGTAAATTTCCAAAAAAGAATACAAAAAAATAGCTGAGTCGTCTACATACCATATTAAATCTATTCTTAGAGGCACATTATTATGGAAATGTAAAAATCATGTTATATAAACAAAACGTCAAGAAAGAACAAAATAGTGAAATATTGAAATGATTGATTATGTGCATTTGTTATAAATTATATTTAATTGTACATGAACATGGCAACGCTTTTCGTTGGCTGTCCAGTATTAAAAACAACAAATATTAAATTTGAAATTCAGATGCCACATGAATTTATGTACGTAAACAAACATTTTTGTTCCATAATTTATTTATAGGAATGGACTAAGTGCATATAAGACATTTCAAGGCAAGAACACTTGCGTGCTAAAAGCAATTCAGTTATCATAAGTTTGTGTTACAGACGTCTGGGGAGTCAAAATATAAAATATTAAATTTGTAGTTGTGTTTTTATTAGTAATATCCCTATGAAATGCAAAGGTAAGTAATTTCTTATAATAGCATTACTTATCAATTCCCATTTTCCATTTACATTATATTACATTAGTTTGTTTGCTGGTTTAGTTTGGTTTTACGCCGTACTAATACGATTGGGGTAATATGGCGTCGACACAGGAAAGATGATTTAGTTAAGCTAACCTCGGGTGTTACATACTTAAAGCAACACCAGCGGGCAAAACACCTTATCCGCTGGAGCTAAAACATGCATAGACACTAGTTATTTTAACCAATATAGTCGCTTCTTATAATCACACAGGGAGAAACGGTGGCTTCAATTATAATGCCTTAACCGTAAAAGGCCACCCCTCAGCCACAAGGGGAATTTAAATCAGTGATATACTAAAAGCAATAATGATCTTACCAAAACGCTAACATTGTTGTTTTAATATTCTACACTAGTACTAATTGAAAACAAAACCAATAATGTGTTAGGGCAACCAAAAAGCATTATAGTTAATTTTCAGAGTACAGCAACATCTTTGGATATTTATGTATAAGTCGGTGAGCAGCTGTTCACAGGCGATTCCAATCATAACATTTCTGCGGTATTAAGCACGTGTATAAACTTCGAAATGGTCCAAATGCAGTGAACCGTAAACTTGTTAGGTGTTCAGATGTGAGTAAAATTAAAAACATGTACTACTAATCTTTCACATTTTATTAATTTAAACGAACTGTGTCTATTGAATTCTTACAACTGTGCTTATAACTATTACTTTCCCGTTAAAATGTGCACCGAAAATTAAATACGTTCTTGACCCCAAAAAAACAACAACAACAAAACAAAACAAGTTGAGTCCATACTGCTCTGTTTATGAGCCCAGTTAAGAACTTGCTGAATTGATTTTATATTTGCATGTTTTATCTACAATTGCAACTTTGTAAAAACATTCTTTTCTTAATTGTATATTATATCCGCCATACAGGTGAGCATTGGCGATGAACATTGTATATGTTTATGCCAAATAAAATACTGAATTGAATTGAAAAAAAATCATATATTTACTAAATTAAGTGATCAAATGCGCGGCTTTTTTTTAAAAGTCAAATACAATAGTAGTGCACGCACGATATTTCATTTAACGGTGCACTTGTCATTCAAGTAATAGAGCATCTTTAAAAAATCTCAAATCTTATCACACATCTGTGCTTATGTATAAACAAACAATGTTTCAAAATCACCTGATCTTTAGATTCAGTCAAAAAAGTTTCAATTTCAGGTGATAATAATTTAAATGTTACTGAAAATATTTTCTTCTGGCGATACTTAGTATCATATTTATACACGACTGATATGTTTCCGTCCGAAAGCACGAAAGCACGTGCAAAAAGCAATTAGATATATTATTTGCTGGAGCGATATAAATCGTTTAGATAGGAAATTTGTATTTGTTGTTTGGTGTTCTTTTTTTCGTATTATCATATTAAAAATTAATCTTTAAAGGCACATTATGTCAGAGTATTGATTAATTTCTTTTTCTTCTAGAAAGGGCAAATATGTGTTTATATGTGCTGAAGTATGTCGGCTGCTGCGTCCTGTGAACTTGGCTATGCCTTGCTGATTTTTGGTCTCGTACTTTTATAATGTTGTGATAATTGATTTAGAAAACATGAAATGTTTATCACCTAAAGACAATAGTGTAGAATGCGAAATTGCTTGTTATAGATAGAAAATAAGTAGTTTTTTATACCCAACTGCACATATTGCTTAAAGACAAAGAAAAGCAAATGACCTATAAGCAGTACAGTCAACGAGTAATATTTTAGAAACTAAAAAGGAACACAAAATTTGGAAGAAAAATACTTTTTGAAGAAAAAAAATTGAATTTATAGATTAAATAGTCCATTAACTTTAAAAACAGTTATAAAATTTCATAAATGTTTGTACATTAACACTTAAAGCTACTTTGTCAGTCTTTCTGTTCTTATTTTTTAATTTAAATTTATATGTAATACTTGATACTAGATATATTAATATTATGAAGTGATAAACAATGCAAAATACTTAGATATTTATTAAAAACTTAAATAATGACAACATATAATTCGTCATCTATTTGATCGCAGTTGTCGCAATAGTATCCAATAGTCAATCATTAAACACAGAAAGTATATGTTCTAATCATTATAAATTAGTTATGGAAACAAACAGTATAAGGTGTGGGAAAACCCTGGGGTTTCCAATATGTAACAACAAACATCTATTTCGAGTCGCATCAAACCGTCTAATAAATATTTTTCAGGGATGATACATGTGTGTCTGGCATTTTTACATTAACATATTATTGAGTATGTGCCATTTTTGCCAATAATGCAAGGAGCGCTTGACCATTATTAAAAATCGTGAGTGATTCCTCGGAAACATTAATCACAACAAAATTACATGACAATTGCCAATTTGTTTGATTAGGTCTGTAAATGAGGGATAAGGAAAAGGTAGAACATCCACCCCGCAGCACCGGTTTTGGCGGTACTCAATTTTGAACCTTCTTTTCATGTTGGAAGAGAAATTACCGACTTATCTTACCGAATAATGTTCATACTGTTTATTAAACTTACTTAAGATGACTGAGTCTGTTTATCACAAACGCACACACAAACTGATGGACAAGGGCAAAACGAAATTCCCCTGAAGTGTTAACATAAAAATGATTCCCCTCATCACTTTTACTACAAAATAAGGATAGTTCTACTGAACATTAAAAGTAACAAAAGTGTACACTTTAATTATGTAGGTTAGGTACTGGTTTAAAATTGTCTGTACCGATAATTAAGATAGTAAACCATTTTGGAATAAGAATGAATTAGGCGGTTCTAATATGCCTTTATGTAGGTGTAAATGCGGATGGCCCAGGTATCAATTTTAAATAAAATAATATGTTAAAATATCAACAGGATGTTAAATATTATGGTAAATACTCATCACCGATATATTATAATTATAATATTTCCCGCACTTTAGCATATGTTGCTTATACAATGTCTACATCATTTCTTTGATCTGTATATCACCACTCCAACTGTAAACCAGTGAAATATCAGTCAAGAATAAACAAAACCAACATATGTATGTTCTACAATTCATTCGTCCCTCATTCTGACTTTTTGTATAATTTTTTGCAACAGTTTAAAGGCACATTATACTCAACATCAACAATTTCTAAAATCGTTTTGTCGTCCCTCAGTCAAATGTTTTGTTAGAATTAATTATTTGCATCGATTTAAAGTCACATTAAGCCCCGGAAATCCATATTGTTTTAATTATGTAGAAATGTCAAGCATGAGTTTAATAGTGTTTTGAAAATGGATTAAGAGTATATTAGACTTTTACCAACTGAAGAAGTAGTGCTGAACATGCAGTAATGTGTGGTAAATGTAATAATATGTAAACAAGGTAGTATTTTGACTTCATACAAAATATTTATTCTAAATAACTATACCAATAGCCAACATTACAAGTCGTAACAGATAATTTATGTATATGGCAAATGAGTACTTTTTTTGAAACTGTAACAAAAGTGTGTGCGATTCAGAAATTCAATATATAGGATTTCTGAGGCATAATGGACCTTTAAAAATATAAAATATGATGACGATGCTTGAACATCATTTCTAAAGTCCATTTTATGAAAAGGAAATAAATGCGAAATAAGCAAATGATATAAAGTAATCGGAAAACAACAACATTACAAATTAATCCCGAGACATTTGAAATTGCTTTAATCAATCCAAAATTAATTACATAACTTCAGTAACAAATTAACACATTCAATAATGATATCAGCTTTATAACATAAAATGGTGCATTATTGGTAGACATCAATGATTCGTAAAACATATACTTATACAAGCGATTTCGCTGACAATTAAATCAAATATAATCGTTTTGCACTTGATGAAAATGACAAATGTT